TATGACTCATGACATACTTATTGAATTTGTCTCAGAGAATTGAGTCTTCACATGCCTCACGAGGCCCCGGGCTCAAAACTAGTGTGAGTTAGATACAACTCACATGGCAGTTAACGTGTTAAGTATTCCTTTTCCCTTGTCCATTCACAGCCCCTTGAAGACACTGGTGTTAACAATTTGATGTGGAAAGCATGAAACAAAAGGAAAGTAAGGGAGAGAGAAGGAGAGGGAGAAAAAGGGAGAGGGAAAATAGACCAAGTGATGAAATAAGTTAATAATCATAATAACTGATTTAACTGTTCAAACCTCAAAAATATGTGACATCTCAACTGTACTAAGAGATACAACCAAAGTAAGTAAGATTAAAGTTGTAGGCTGGGGGCCAGGTGTGGTGGCTCATGCCTATAATCCCAGCACTTCAAGACGCCAAGGCAAGAAGAGGATCACCTGAGCCAGGAGTTTAAGCCAGCCTGGGCAACATAGGGAGACTTTGTCTCTACCAAAAAAGGAAAAAAACTGTAGGCTGGGGCAAAGATTTACCAATCAAACAGAAGGAAAACACTGGTTACAATACTAATTTCAGGTAAAACATGCTTTGGGGAAATAAATCTTAAATGGAATTCAAAAAATTAAAAACTATATAACATACTATAATTGCTAATAAACACAAGATGTCAAACTTGTACATCAAAATGCATCAAGCCAAAATTATTAAAACTGAAAAAAAAAAATCAGAAAAACTATAATAGCAGTAGGAGATTATAATTTACTACTGTCAATTTACAACAAAACTGGAAGACAGGTTCTCAAGACTGAAACACACAATGTTAACTGTGAGTGGCCTTAGTACATACTGAGCTCCATATTCCACAAACAGGACATATTTCTTTTATCTTATGAAAGGTTTTTCTTAGGAACATTAGAATATACTTTAAAGTGCTTTAACATTTGTATACTGTGGTATCAGACAAGAATACAGTAAGATCAGGCAAATTTTACACCAAATGTTTTGAAACT